AGATAGATAGATAGATAGATAGATAGATAGATAGATAGATAGATAGAGATAGATAGATAACCTCCTGATAGATGACTTGCTGAGTGCATCATTGTCTTTTGTCTTTTATCTTCTTCCTTCCTGTCAGGTTTTGCTAGATTTTGTATTTGAAGTAGCAGAGGAAGTAGCAAGTCTCCTTCTCTAACTTGGGCTTGTAACATCTCCTCCCAAGAGTTAGCTACTTGACTGAGTACACTCCTTCTCTATTCTTAGCTGCAGTCCCTCTGAGTGAAGCTCCTTTCACTTCAAAGGGAAGAGAGGCATTTTAAAATGCTTTGTTTACTTCTGCTAGAAAAAAAAAAACAAAATCTTTCTTAGGAGCCATGCTAAATGCAACAACCTTAGAACAATTCAGAAAAAGAAAAGTGTATAGTATATTGTCACAAAACAATTACAAATATTCTTCAAAAACACATTTAAAGGGATCTTAATGGCTTCTACCTACTGCTTGTCTCCCTTGTGCAAACTAGCTTAAAAAAAAAAAAAACTTTTCCAGATTTTAACCTCATCCTCCACTTTTGGCCATAGTGATGGACAGGTGTTTGGCTCACACCATGGTTAACATGGCTTCCATTTGGATAATTCCACTACTTTTTACCCCCATCTCATCCTGGTGGGAATTGTTTTGTGTTCTGTGGGCATGTTTCTGATGGGGAAAAAAGACAACATTTTTATATAACTCTTCCCGTCACTTGGGCTAGGAGGAGAAACTTCAGCTAGCATTTCAAAATTGGAAAAAAGAGCTAATCTTTCATAGTAGGAAGTTCAGTACCAAATGGACTTGACAGGCAGGAGGAGGAGCTTAGAGGGGCTGGCCCCAGAGCACACACCAGCCAATGGGAACAGAGGCATTTGTGTAAGATGGAATGGAGCACAGCAGGTGGACTCCACTGCCCTGCATATACCATTTGAGGGGGAAAACACGACTTTGGATGAGGAGCCAGAAAACTTAGGACAATTGGAAGTATGGATTAACTGACAGAAAAACAACAAAATACTGCAATGGCAGGTTTTGTCAGGAACACTTGTTTTTCTGGGTATACCTGTATACAGGTAGCCCTTGACTTACAACAGTTCATATGGTGATCGTTCGAAGTTATGGCAGCACTTAAAAAAACCTGACTTATGGCCGTTTTTCATATTTATGACTATTTGGCAGTGGTGCAATTCAATCGGTGTAACAACCGGTTCAGTGAGCGTGCGCTTCGCTTCACGCACAGCTTTTAGAAAAGACCATTTTCAGCTATAATACTTACCTTCTGCTGCATCCCCGGTGAGTAAAACAGCTGATCCACAGCAAACCGCTCTGCCATGCGAATCAGCTGTGCTCAAAAACAAGGAAATAAAGCACAGGAAAAGGGCAGGGGTAGGTGGGTGGGCAGGGCCAAATGATCACTGGAACTACCGGTTCTCCCGAATCTGTCCAAAATGGTAGAATCCCACCCCTGCTATTTGGTCATGTGATCAAAATTCAGATGCTTAGCAACGGACTCATATTTCTGACAGTTTCAGTGTTCTGGGGCATGTCATCATCTCTGGTGACCTTCTGACAAGCAAAGTCAATGGGAAATCCAGATTCACTTAGCAACTGCATTACTAATTCAATGGCTGCAGTGATTCACTTAACAATGATGGCAAGAAAAGTCATAAAATGGGGGAAAAACTGACTTAACAACTGCCTTGCTTGGCAGTCCCAGAGGTGCTTTTTTCAAGAGGCAACTGGACTTTCTGGTTTTTTCTTTTTTCTTTTTTATGGTTATATAAATCAAGCATATTTTTTTACAGGTGAAGGAGGAGATTCCAGGAAAGTGATGAAGAATTAGGTGAGGTAAGCATGCATATAGCAGTAGATTAATATAAGCTGTGTAGGGTTTTTTTTCCTAACCATTGCATAAATCTATTGTGTAGATTTTTAATGATGTTAGTTTATTGCCAGAGCGA